AGTAGCATTTGGTTTTGTCTGAAAATTCCCGATAGTAGCGTTTCGTTTCTCTGATATTTCGCATACATAGCTGAAACTTCTGAAGTTAGTATTTTCGTTCTCTAGGCATATTGGGATAACGATAGAAGTGGTCATATTCTCGGAAACTGGAACTATTATTTTTTGAAAATCGCATTTCCATTCTATCTCGCAAATTTTTTTTGAAAGCCGAATCTTGCGAAGCCTACCAATATTGCGTTAGGCACATTCGGAGGTTGCTATATTATCAGAAACTGGATTTCGTTCTTTTCTGAAAATCGCATCTTTACTCCATTTCGCAATTTTTTTTTTTTTCAAAATTGCAATTTGTAAAAGCCAAAACTTTGCGGCACCTAGCCTAGATCTCGTTCATAATTCTGTTCTGACATATCCTACTCATCATAAATCGACAGATATATATATATAAAAAAAAAAAAGGAAGTAGTCCTCTTTTATTTTTATCTGTTGATTAGGGCCGGAGGAAAGTATTGTTGGGTTGGTTACCTCCCTCTGTTTTCCCTCTCACCCACCCCTTGCATGCATCCCGTTTCGGTACAGTGCCACGTCACAGTGCCAGATCAGCAGTACCACGTCAGCAGTGCCACATCACAGTGCCAGATCAGCAGTGCCACGTCACGAGTGCCACGTCACAGTGCCAGATCAGCAGTGCCACGTCCGCAGTGCCAGGTCACATTGCCACATCAGACATAGTGCCACGTAAGCAGAGCCACGTCAGCAGTGACGATCGACACAGTGCCACGTGAGCAGTGCCACGTCAGCAGTACCACGTCAGACTGCCACATCAGTAGTGCCACGTAAGCAGCGGTGCCACGTCAGCAACATGACGGGCCTGCCAGGCCAACTGCCCAATGAGACCATTCCCGCCTACAAGCAGCGTTGCCTGGCTCAGATAGAGGCTGAGGAACAACGCCTGCTGGCAGTCGAGGCTGCCCGCGTACAGGCTGAAGAGGCAGCAGCAGCAGAGAAGCTGCGGCTACAGGCCGATGCAGACGCAGATGCCCAGGCTCGCCGCAAGGAAGCCCAGGATCTGCTGCAGCGGCATGAAGCCAACAGCATCGACAAACTTAAGTACTGGCATTTTAAACCGAACGGTGACGAGGCAACACTGGAAGAGAAGCACAAGGAGTTCCTCTACGAACTCGTGACGCGGTTGTTGTATGCTTGCAACTACCAAAGGTCAGAGTTGGAGAAACAGCACCGGGACCTGACGCAATAGTATCAGGAGTTGGCGACGCTCCGCCGCACAGTGTAGAGCCACGAGGATGCAACTCGGGCACTCAATGCCCGATTGTTGGACCTGGAACAGGCTGTACCAGGACCAGCTGCTGGAGCTTCCAGCAGTGCACCCTCAASCCGCCAACTGGAGGACYGCGTTGACCACRTAGTGGCAATGCTCGGCGACATCAGMACCTTCGCTGCGCCGACCACCACCATYAGCAGTCAGCTGCATACATTGAAGACCGAGGTCCAGAAGCTGCAGTCGACGAACGCGGACGACAATCCGAAGATGTACAAGATGCCAACTTTCAACGTGGAGAGGTTCGACGACTACACGCAGCAGGATCCTGTCCTCTGGTGGGAAGCATTCACAGCGCAACTTAGGATTCTGCCAGTAGCCAAGCATGCGTCCATCGGCGCCCTGTTCCTAAACTCAAAGGGCGGATGCCAGACCTGGTTGAGCCACCTGGCAACCTCCCACGGCGTCGACGTACCAGACTTGAAGGACGTAATCACATGGGAGGAACTGACACGACTATGGAAGAAGAGGTTCATCGTCGACGACGCGCCAACACTCGCCATCAACCGACTGTTCACCATGTCACAGGGCAACACAGCAACACGGGACTGGCTCACGGAGTGGCAGAAGATTGCGGCTGTGCCCAATCTGAACTTACCATTCGAGCATCTATGCCGTGAGTTCTACAACGGGTCTTGTGCTGCATTGAGCCAGGCTCTTAGTGATCGCGAGCAGTACTCAACCTTCGCGGAGATCATTGACAAAGTAAGGGAGATCATCAAAACCAACAGGTCAGCTGCACACGAGAAATCAACATCATGGCAACCGACCTATGTGGAGAAGGTACGAAGAGGTCCGCGACAGCAGCACTTCGCTGCAGTCCAGCAGGACAGTGGAGATAACCCAGCAGCCACTCCAGCATCAAGTGACGGAGATCAGGTGGC